AATGTATATAAATTAGGGATTTAGTAAGCCGACATAAAAAGTACAGCCTCAGCCAATAACATTAAACTACCTACACACCGTAGTTCGCTGAAGGCAACTAACCCCACAGCACACACGATATTGTCAAGACGCAAAGGCTCGCCAAAACCAATACATAAGGGTAAACAATTGATGTCACTGATGTGATGTTCGCTAACCAGCTTCTCGATCAGAGTAAAAACAACACAGCCAGCTGTTAATGTCGACCGTATAAAATATAAATGTACCGTTAAAGTACTGTAGGCCAAATTGGTATAAACGACACCGCTAGCTATATTCTAATGATGGTCCTCGCGCGTCTATCAGCCTAATAGTAAACCAGGCTCAACCAGGGTGGCCCATACCAGATAAAATAGCGGCGTGTTGGCTAGCTAGCTACCATTTTGCTTAGTTAGTTAGCTTGACAGGATAACATTTGACTTTGACAATAAGAACTGCAAGCTAGAAAGGATGGCAAAACATTACATCAGCTACATATTTTGCTTATTTCGTTTGACATTGTTCGATTAGCTACAACCTTTAACGTTACTGCAAACCCAGATTTTATTCGCTCGAGCGCAGCTGAGCTAGCAGGCTGGCTAACTAAGCAGCTAACGTTAGCCGGCTGGCTAGCATTATTAGCTTGGCCTCTGGCACTTCAGATGGCAGCTAGCTTTAATATTTACATAATACAGGAACGAGAAAATACATAAAAATTGATAGAATAAATTAAATCACTTTACCTCTATTTCTTACAGAGCCAAATACGGGAAGAACCAAATATCCGACATGTATTAACACCATCCTGGGTCCTTTGTTGTATCGCTAGCCAGTGAGACAGATGGTCCATGGAAATGGTCCCTTCCAATCCTTGCACATTCAAACGGACAGGCTGCTCAGCTGCCTGGCGTACAAAGACAGAACGAACCAATCAATGAACACCTCTCTAAGTAAGCCTCTTCCTGTGGCACACGGGACAGCCAATCAGATCAGCGACTTTAGTTTTGTGAATTACAAAGAGGTGGAGATGTCCGTCTTCTGGACATCTACTCAAATCAATCAAGCTCAGATCCATCCAGTGTTGAATATCATTGCATTTATTTCATACCAATACACCGTACTGTTAAAAATGTACACATTGTGTCATGTTCCTATATGCACTCCAGGACATGTTTGTTGTAGGCCTATTATTTGAAAGAAGGATATTGTCATGCCATGGTTTCCTGGCTCGACTCTCCAGTCTGCACCACCAGAATTAAGACATGGGGACAGATGGAGAGGGGAGGTAGAGGGGGTCACTAAACTCAATGTCATTCACTACTTAGTGGTAACCCTTAGACCGCCTAGCCTACCCACCACGACCACTATAATCGCCTATGGTCTTGCACAAAGGACCCTGAGCTCTATACCCCCCCCCCCCCCCCCGGTCATATTGATCAAATCCGGAAAAAAAGGGGAAACCATTCCTATTAATTGTTGCCCAAATAAATCAGGTTTGGCTAATTTTGTATTTTTGGTACAAAATATTAATATTCAGACACAAATAGCGCTACACTGATCTCGGAGGTCTGGTGGGAATAAAATCACATAGCTATCTTCGAATAATAAAAGGGTATTCCTGCACACAGATTAACTTCTGAATTTATTTGCAGAGTCAAGCAAGTATATGGTGGAAATATTTGTTTAATATTGTGTGTAGGCTACGATCGTTGGTGTGTGAAATTCAAGTGATAGCTCGGTAGTCCTCCAGCAGGCAGCAGTTAACTGAGGTGAACTCAACACCATTTTCATGCCTATGACATGGCGGGGGTCGGGGAAGGTAAATGGTGCCATGCAATATGTGACATAAACCTGTGGATTGTGAACAACATATTGAATAACCTAGTATTTTACCATTCATTTCAAGGACTCGCTTACAGGTACTTACCGATGGTCCTTACTTCTATGAACGTTGCGTTTTGATTTCTGCTAGGACAGGGCCCTCTGGTGGTCAGGTGTGTACTCTACAATCCCAAATATAATTTCCATGAAAACTGCACGAACCAACGGCTACTCAGAAAAACAATCACCTCCTTCATAGCTCCCTAAAATACCAGCACAGAACAATTGCATTGATTTTCTAGGCTAGTAAAATATCTATTAGCAATTGTTCTACTCACCAATGACAAGGGGACTAGCCATGGGAATTAGCATACAGCTGGTGCCCTCAGGATTAACAGAGAAGCAGAAGGACTCCAGGGTTGAGGTTAGGTTAGGCAGATTGCACAGCTCCGGTCTCTCCATTGTCCTCTCCACGTGTCCCCCTTGCCTGACCTCTGACCCTGTCCCTTTGTGGATGAGGGGTCATATTGTTCATGAAGAAAGGGAGTCCTCTGTGCTGTTAGGGTACTGAAGGACTGGAGTTGGGAAACACTGCTCTACACAGATATTGAATCAGAGACCTCATCCCCTTTGTCACTCTCTGATTAGGCAAAGACACTGATAAACCCAACAGTATAGACAGCATGGGAATTAAATAAATAAAAAAAATCACAATCAACACAGTCCTTAAATAATAATATATTTATTTAGTTTTAAAATGGTTTCCTTTTTGTTCTACAGACATAATTTCAAAGAAGTCCGGGACTTGCAAAATATTAACACTCATTTCTTGTTAATTTAAAATAATGACAGTAAAATAAATGAAAATAAACAGCACAAAAGGGTTAAATTACTGAGAGCGGGTTGAAACAGATGTTTGAATTGAGGACAAAAATGTAACAAAAAATGTTATGTGCAACCATACTTGATTGATGCTGCCCTAGTTTCTTACAGAAAGCAATCCACTAAGCCTAAAGGCATGAGCAATGTCTTACTTAACTGACATTAAACAATAATCATAATGAAGAGCTACACGACAACAATGGGCTTAGCGGTGTTGCATGCAAGAGACGAGGCCTGGAATAAAAAAGGTACATTTCAGTGCTAGCTGCATACAGTGGAGAAAACTAGCCAGTCAGAAACAGTCAAGGTGATACTGAAATTTCAACATAATCATGTCATCTAATTTACACAATGTTTTTCTCTGGGAGGAGGGTGATGTTAACACATTCAAGTTGAAATCAACTCAACAACCTATCAATAATAAATTCAGACCTCAAAATAATTTCATACGTGCAAAGGAAAAGTTGTCAAAAGCTGAAATATCACAAGTCTCTAAGGTTTTTAAGTCTTTCTTTGACAAAAATTCCATTCGACTTTGGTTCAGTTCCCGGTGTCGAGGAGGACTTTTCCCTTTCTGTGACCAACAGGAGCGAATGAAATGCTCCAATATAACCCTCTAATGAGGGAAAGAGAGAGACCAAGAGGTTCATGCAGTTCAAATGGATCTGATGTGTCATACCAGAACATTGGTAAAAACGAATCAGGCGTGGTTGCAGTCTCACCAGGCCTGAAATACTGCATGAGTACACAAACAGGAGAACCAGGGAGAGTCCTGAGGAATCAGGGTTAAAACAATTCATACATTAAATAGGTCTCTCTATAAAGCCCCCAAATGGGTACAAACTCACCAGTCCTTTACTAGTATCTACATAGTAAAATCACATCTTTTATTAAAATATCTTTTTTGTAGAGGCGGCAAAATCCGCCTCACTTTAAGGTAAAAGAATATACATGACTCTGAAAGAAAATAGTGCACATTCCAAGGCATTCAGGCCATCTTTGGAAGATACATTTCCTCAGTTGTCAGAAAGGGGTCTCGAAAAGTTAGGAGGGGGGATATCTCATTCACACTGATACACATACACACAATCCATATAAGTGCAACCAGTCAGCGACGCAGGGTCATACATTCACTGACTACCAGAATGACACCTGGGACACTTTCAGACTGTTCTCCATCGCAACGGGCTGCCTCAACAGCCACCAGACCTGTCTTACAGTAATAGTACTGTACATAACCTGCTATGCCAGAGGACTGCAGCAAATGCTTGAGTAGAAACAGGACTGCAGCACTCATCTTATCCTGTGTGTCTGACCACCAGCTACTCAAAGAGGAGAAAGACGAGAACTGAACATAGACCAGTGTTGCTGTTTGTTTCCTTGAATAGGAAAACATACTATCTAGCTAGCTTAGAAGTTGATTTAGCTACGGTCTTAAACAAACACATTGCGTCATTGACAGCACCATTATCAATAGTATAAATGAAACATAATTGACTATATATTTTTGTAAGCGAAGTAGGGTAAAATCAACGTTATCACTGTAGTTTGACCCGTGAGTGAGGAGCCAGTGGTCAAATCTTAACATAAACCTAAAAGTGACTCTTATGGAGATGTATGAATCAGGTCAAGTCACCAAAGCCCTGTCACAGGCCGGCGTACCGTGCTTCAGAAAGTGTACCAGCTGCCGTTTAGTATCGACTGAAAGCCCAGTCCAGTCAGTCGGAGAATAGGTCACCAATCTGTAGCGCAGCAGGTTCGAGCCACTGATCCTGCCCCGCCCTCATGCAGCAGCTTTAAGTCTTATGTTACAGCTAGCGGAGAGAACACAAAGTGCCTACCTACATACATACAACAATCCCCGGGATGAAGGAGGTACAGGACAGGAAGAATATTGCTATGTGTTTTACTGTAAAACCTATCTATGGTTCCCCCTGCACTAGTGTCTTGCCCTCTTGATTATTATAATAAATAAATAAAACATGAACAGGGAATCACCTTAGTTAAAATGGCTTTGATACACAAGGTTCTACAGTAGGTTAAAAACAAACAGCGCTCAGGAAGAAGAGGAAGAGTCCATGGAGCTGCATCTCAAACGACACCCTATTCCCTATATAGCAAACTTATTTTGACCAAAGCACTATAAAGTGCACTAAATAGGGTGTCATTCGAGACGCTGCCCATGAGTCACAGGTGGTGGCTGTAACACTCAGGAAGGGCTTCCGCCATGGTGGGGGAGGAGGAGAGGGGTGTAAGGAAGTCTTCAGTGCACGAGTTGCTCAAAGCAGGTGTTTGTGTCTGGTCTCCTCATCCAGAGTGAGGTCCACTACCTCCGGAGGGGACACCCAGTTGGGCTGGGGGGACACTGTAGTCCAGAGCTGGGAGGATTGCCTTGTGCTGTTGTTGAAGTGCTCCACTGAGTTGGCCTTCCAGGCAGAGGACAGGCTCTGGATCACTCCGCCCCTAGGATGGGCACATCTGTTAAGAGAAACAGCACAATAACACAACAAGGACATTAGAGCAATGTAAGAGAAATATTAGGGCAACAACATTACACTGAAGATTTGGTAAGTGCAAACTATGCATTGCAGTTCACCAGTTCCTTGACACTGTTGGTGTCACACAGTAAAACTTTAATGACAGTTTTGTTGCAGCAATAAAACATAGTCGCATGACCATGATCCTCAAATTAACACGTTTCAGAGCAACATCATATTACGATTACAGTTTTGTAGTGGTTGCAGTGCAGGCAGATCTGACCTCGGTGTGTGTTGTAAGTTACGCTTTCTGAACTCACCTTGTGTTTTCTTGCACTCCTACTATTTCTACCTCACTGTCTGAGGAAGGGATGTTGATGTGGCCCTTGTGCTGAGGGGGTTCCCTGTGGGCCAACTCTGCCTCCATGTGACCTGCAACACAACAATACAACACACTTTATAATGCACAGGGACATCTAGATCATTGCACCCCGGGGTAACACAAATACAGACACAACAAGATTAACTTTGAAGTTAGGGGACACAGGGACACTGAAATTATACAATTCACACACCTCTTCTAGAAGTCTGATGGACAAGAATATCTGGTTTACTCTATATTGCAGTAGATCTATGTCAATTTATACTTCACAAAAAATATAAACGCAACATGTAAAAGTGTTGGTCCCATGTTTCATTAGCGGAAATAAAAGATCCCAGAAATAATTTCCATAGCACAAAAAGCGTATTTCTCTCAAATTTTGTGCACAAACTTGTTTACATCCCTGTTAGTGAGCATTTCTCCTTTGCCAAGATAATCCATCCACCTGACAGGTGTGGCATATCAATAAGCTGATTAAACAGCATGATCATTACACAGGTGTACCTTGTGCTTGGGACAAAAGGCCACTCTAAAATGTGCAGTTTTGTCACACAATGCCACAGATGTCTCAAGTTGAGGGAGCATGCAATTGGCATGCTGACTGCAGGAATTTCCATCAGATCTGTTGCCAGAGAATTGAATGTTCATTTCTCTACCATAAACTGCCCCCAACGTCATTTTAGAGAATTTGGCAGTACGTCCAACTGGCCTCAAAACCGCAGACCACGTGTAACCATGCCAGCCCAGGACCTCCACATCCGGCTCCTTCACCTGCTGGATCATCTGAGACCAGCCACCCGGACAGCTGATGTGGAGAAAAACCTCATTCTGATTGGCTGGGACTGGCTCCCCAGTGGCTGGGCCTGGCTTTCAAGTGGGTGGCCCCTCCCAGGCCCACCCATGGCTGCGCCCCTGCCCAGTCACGTGAAATCCGTAGATTAGGGCCTAATGAATTTATTTCAATTGACTGATTTCATATGAACTGTAACTCAGTAAAATCGTTGAAATTGTTGCATGTTGCGTTTATATTTTTGTTCAGTATACATCTATGTCAATTGACTAACTGAATTGCTATGAAATACAGACGAAAAAGAAAAGGCAACCCCCAAAAAGAAAAACAGCATTTGCAGCACCAGAAAGGAAAAGACAAGCAGATAGTCCGTGTAATTTCTGCTTCAAACTCCAAAAGATCCCCCTTTCTAACCTTCGGAGCGCAGTACAAAATGTTTTATTCAACCGTATCTATGTCGTGGGGCTTGCGATGTAGAGGAAATTACATCATTTCACCAGGTCTTCATCGCTGAGACTTTGGTTCCTATCACTACTTGTTGCACTAACATTACCCCCGTTAAACGATCTCCTCGTGCCTGTCAAACTGTCTGCGGATTATACAGAAAGTCTTCCCAGAGAGGGTGGACATTTTCAGTGTGATACAGCGGGTTTGTAACTGACCTGCTGAGAGAGAGCACAGATGCTGTGCTCTTACTGCCCCAGAGTTTGATCCCATATCCTGGTCCCTGTGTGTTTTTAGCCTTTCGTGTGTTATCACGGTGGTCCGGCGCAGGGACACTCGCTCCACAGTCACACTTATGCTCTCCTGGTTAGAATCAGTGTCTGAAATATCATAGTGACCCACTACAGGAGGCCCGTCTGCAGAAACAACAGAAAACAACTTCATTATTAAAACCACGCCGTCTCTCAGGAGGTCTCACAGGTTAGTTGACTTCAGTGCTCACAGTAGACGTAGCTACCTCCATGAGCACAATAAATGCATTCATTGCCATTTGCCCTGTGAAAAGGTTACAACCCTGCTGACAATATCATAAGTGTAACACCAAGTTGCTTGCAGCACCCCATGGCAGATTGTGTAACGGTACACAACACTGTAGCAGAGCAGTTAGGCCGTCTGACTGTGTTTGTAGGTCTAGTATAGCAGCTCACGATAGGATTTCAGACATGGTATCACTGAGTGGATCAGATACATCATAAATACCCACATTCTACAACTTCCAATATTTTATTTCTTGATTTTGACTGTTAAATGCCACCTGCCATGCATGGTAATGAATGAAAATGTGTTTCAGTTGTAAATATTTTTGTTGCCAGACAATTAGCAAGCTAGTAATAATTTAACTACTCAACCTAACTAATTGCCTGGTAATAAAGCATAAAATAAATACAGCAAATAGGCCTACATAATATATTTATTTTGCTCAGCTGTAAATGCAGGGGCACCACTTTGGTTTTAGAAGTGGGGGGGACATAACCTGGCAGGGATTTTTGGGCCTCTAAAGCACATTTCCTGCATTTTTACACAATCCAATATGCCGTCTCTATTTAGAACAAAAAGTAGGCAAAAATGGCCCACAGTCATCAAGCTAGGTAAGATATCATTATTACATATTTTTAAGTGATCAATAAAACTGGAATTAGATAAAAGGTAATTCAATAATAAATATTGTGTTGCACCTTTAACCAATAGCCTAACAAATGAACAACTCTTGAAAAAAATACAAAGACATTATTTTTTTCCCTCCTCTATATCAAATTTCAGCCAGACCGACCAGCCAGCCCGAGCCGCCTGCACGCTCGACCCCCACCAGTCAAGTCAATAACTCAACTCTCTCCCAACACAAGTTCCTTCCCAGTTCTCACCTTTAATTTTTTTAGTTCACAAGGGAAAGTTAAAAAAAATAAAAATATAGCCACATACACCTCAAATATACATTAACACACAGAAATAGCAAATCCTACATATAATTAATCTCATAGGCCTAATAGTACTGTAGAGCTCTTTTTACTTGCACACAATATAGCTGCGTTTCCCCATCCTGTCCCTAGGGGTCCACGGCCCTGCAGCACCCCAACCCAACACACCCCACTCAGCTTGAGGATCTTAGTGAAACATTCATTATTGGTTTTGGGTGTGTTAGGCCAAGGCCAGAGTGACAACACACAGGACGGCAGACCCCCAGGGCCAGGACTGAGCAGCCCAGCAGCTAGGGATTGCCTAAATAGGTATCTCCCATGACGTGGGCATGTTTTCAATACAGACTCCTTTAGTCGTACTGTATTCCATATAAGGCATCCAGACCTTATGAAAGTTGTCAAGTATACCCTTAATCTTGTAATACATTTCTTAGCCGCTATAAATGCTTGGTTACACTGTTTCTTCAGATAACAGTCTCCAGTATCAACATTTCCAAGCAAACAAAAATAGGGATATGGGAGAATCTGTAGACATGCTGAGATAAAAGAACATACTCATTGCTAGAATTCAGCCAGCCTTCACGAGACCATAACATATGCAAATATTACACCTCCAGCAGAGGAATTACATTTCTGAGTGCATGTAATTCAGTTTCACTGGCATATAGTACGGTCTATGGATGGTCTTAAACTGCAGTAATTTATGCCTGAGATAATATTAACATGACTGGGCATTCAAACATATCTGTATCCATTCATCATTTAATTACATCATTAGCAGACGCTTCTATCCAGAGGCTTACTTGCGCATACATTATTTTTGACCCACAACCTGTTTGCAAACCCATGCTCTACCACTGTGTCATCCCTGCCGGAAACCCGACGCCTGGGCCATGTGAGGCCCCATGGGTCTCCCGTCGCGGCCGGCTCACAGGATCATCATAGCTTTACCAGTTCCTACATTTGTTACAGTTTTGTGTCATGGGAAAGCTCATCAACCTTGACACAGTTTGAATCATTGGGGTTGTCGGCTGCCTTAAAAAAGCATCTGGCTTGTTCAGTGTTTGCTGCACAGAGAGAATAAAGTGTTGTATCTGCAAAAATTCACCTCAGCTCCGTCACAGACTGGTCTTCCCTGGCTGCCTGACCCTGCTGAGACCCCTGTCACCACCTGATCCTCTTGAGATTAGGCATGACAAAAGAATTACCTTGGTGTACATTTATACATTATTTTATCCATGAATAGAATCAACGGTTAAATAATTGAAATTAACATTATTCCCAGATCCCAGACTGTAGCTTTAAGCTTAAGCTTCTGTCCTGTAGCTACTGTTGATCTACCCATCAAGTCAAGATGGAACTTTGTATTAATCATTGATATTGTTAATATACCGCAAAATTCACCTGAGCTCCGTAGACTGATCTTCCCTGGCTATCTGACCCTGCTGGGACCCCTGTCATCACCTGATCCTGCTAAGACATGATGAGCATAGTGTTATGTACAGACTGTGCACTAGAGGGCTGCATTCCCGCGGGATGCCTGTGGGACCCAACAGAGATCATTGGCACGGTCAGTCAGACTACTTTGGGATGAAAATATACTGAACAAAAATAAACGCAACATGCAACAATTTCAAAGATTTTACAGAGTTAGAGTTTCTATAAGGAAATCAGTCAATTGAAATAAATTCATTAGGCCCTAATCTATGGATTTCACGACAGGGCAGGGGTGCAGCCATGGGTGGGCCTTGGAGGGAATAGGCCCACCCACTTAGTAGCCAGGCCCACCCACTGGGGAGGTAGGCCCAGCCAATCAGAATGAGTTATTCTCCACAAAAGGGCTTTATTACAGAGAGAAATACTCCTCAGCCGCCCCCGCAGGTGAAGAAGCCGGATATGTGGAGGTCCTGGGCTGGCATGCTTACACGTGGTCTGCGGTTGTGAGGCCGGTTGGACATACTGCCAAATTCTCTAAAATTACTGTGTCAGTGTGAAAAGTAGGGAATTAACTAGGGAAACTGACAGAGCAATAACGTTATATTACCATACCGACTAATAAAAACTAATTGTACTGAAAAAATGACAATATTTATCTTCAATCGTTTGGCCGATGGTTTCATCGTTTGATTCAGGTCTAGTGCGATCGAGGCAAAAAAGAATAGCTAATGTTTGCCAACTTTTGGCCAGCTCTCTCGCTAACCGTACATCAACTGGTGAAAGCTAGCCAAGTTAATTTACTTCTGTTGAAAAAAGGGACAAAACATTTCCATACAAACAACAGCTGTTAGATTGTATCTGACAGATAGCTAGAGGCTAGAGTGGACCTGGCTGTGGTAGCT